AGTCTCTCAAGCTTATTTAGCTGGTCCTCAGTTATGTCTACATAGCTTGCGTCAGCATAGTCGAGAATCGGAAGGAGAAGAGACTGTGCGAGCATAATTTTTGTAGGAATGGGAAGAAATGATCGAAGGCGACGCAGTGAACAAAGAGCGACAAAAGTTTTCTTACTTACCTCATTCAGTTGGCGTATCCAATTTAAGGAATTATCAATATAAATACCAAGATTTTTGACATTGTCAAAGTAAGGGATAACAACTCCATCGAATACGATAGGTGGTACAGAGAACCAGTCAATTCTTGAGATAAAGCTCTGGCTACCAATAATGATAGCCTGAGACTTTTTAGGATTGACATTTAGGCCATATGATTTACTCCACTCGTGTATAAAATTTAGATCCTTATTTAATGTAGCGATTGCATTCGGCAGATTCTCAAGAGTTGACTGGGTGTAAATCTGGACATCATCCGCATACATGTGGTAGAGAGAGGATATTTTATGAGTGATTGAATTAATGAAAATGGAAAAGAGTAAAGGTGACAACACGCCGCCCTGCGGCACGCCTGCAGTTATATCACACCAAGATGAGTGAGTTTCATCGACACGAATACACTGCCGACGGCCACAGAGATAACTTTGAAACCAGTCAATTACTGATGGAGATATGTTAAGGGAACATAACAGACTCAACAGTATATCGAAGTCAACAGTATTGAACGCATTACTGAAATCCAGCAAGGTCATGACTGTGAGTTGTTTATTATCCATACCCCACCGTATGTCATCAGTAACTTTGATTAAGGCAGTAGCCGTACTATGACCTGGACGGAAACCGGATTGTAAGGAATTCAATAAATTGTGCTTATTAAGGAAAAGGGTCAGCTGTTGGCAAATAAGTTTTTCAAGGACTTTAGAAAGGAAAGGTAAGATCGAGATGGGACGGAAATCAGAGAGGTTGACGGGATTAGATTTCTTTGGAAGGGGTATAATATGAGCACTCTTCCAGGCTTGAGGGAATTTAGAGGAAGAGACACAAGCATTGAGTAAATAAGTGATAATGGGAGTAATAACATCAAGGAGAGGAACAATCATATTACGGCTAATGTTGTCGCTACCGGCAGCATTTGAGGAGATGGATAATATGGTCTTCTTAACATCACATTCAGTAAACTGACTAAAAACGAACGGAGGATAATTAGGAGTCGGAATTACAGAAAGCGAACGAAGTGTTTGCAGTTTATGTTCGCTATCAAAAGAGTTAGAAGGATTAGAAAAATGTTGATTTAATAGTTCAAAATCAACACTAGGAGGTGAAGTATTTAGGGATGTTCTACCAACTCCAACTGTTTTGAGAAACTTCCACACCCTAGATGAGTCGCCGTTCTCGACTGATGTATGAATATGGCGTCGTTGCGCATCTCTACACAATGTGTTGCATCGATTCCTGATTTTGGCGTATTTCCTTACGTTTTCCTCTGTTTTATTCCTCTTAAGCTTTGACAATGCCGCATTCTTCTGCAAAATAAGCTTCTTCAGATCATCAGAGAGCCATGGAGCAGGTAGGTGTTTAAGTCTCACATAATGCATTGGCGCGTGGACGTCATAAAGCTGAGTGAGAAGAGAACAGAACAGTTCCACTTTATCGTCAATGCATGGAGCTCTCTCGATCACTGACCAGTCAATATTATAAGCATCTTCACAAAGTTGTTCAATATCCATTCCTCCAAAATTACGTCGCAGAACTAATTTGGGTTTGATTTTAGGAGGGCGTAGTTTATACGAAAGAAAAATTAAATCGTGATAAGAGAATGCATCAGCAGGGCACTGTCCGTGCTTGAAAACTAAATTGGAAGATGACACCATTATTAAGTCAAGAAGGGAAGGAGTACTGTTAGGAAAGTTATGAGTAGCAGAAAGGGGTAGGATTTGCATATTACACGCTTCAATTATAGCTTCAAGTTTTATAGATCGATTGTCGCCTTTAAGCAAACAGGTGTTAAAGTCACCCATCAAAATAGTGTGACTATACGTAGGGACTAGTGATTCTAAAAGAGATTCAAAAGAAGTAAAATAATTTATAGAAAGGGAGGGACTGTAGAAAACTCCAAGTAGGATTTTATTCTGAGACAGGGAGACCTCAACCAGCAAATGCTCAGCAGAATCAACAGGAGGTGGTTGACTTGACGAACTAACAATTTTAAATGGAAGGTAGGATCTTAGATAGATCGCCACGCCCCCACCACCCCTATTAGTGCGGTCATTTCTAATTAGATGAAACCCAGGCAAAGAATAAGAAGTGGAAGGCAGACAGGGTTTTAGCCAAGATTCTGAAACTAAAATGGCGTGAATATTTTGGGATTCAAATGACGCAAGCATGTCAGGATAATGAGCCGGAATGCTTTGGGCGTTAATATGAATAGCATTAAAGTTATTCACACAGTCTGAGAAAAAAGAATTTAAGGTGATGTTGAGTGAAGGAGGAGCAGTTGTACTGTGATAACTATCATCACTAAGTGTCCCATCGTCCGAAGACAACGATAGAAACAAATCACTATCGTTACAAATGTTTGAGGAGGCCATAAATATTAAATTAAAATATAAAATAAATTCTTATATACACTAAAAAAAAGAAAAAAAAAATATAAATAAAGATCGAAAGGTACCTATACTATTACAACCACCAGCAGCATGAAAGAGAAAGCACATAACAAAACAACAACTTAAAGAAATAAAACAATCAGTTTAATATAAAAATTACCAAAACCTTGCAGTCTGACGCCAATAGATTTTAAGACATTTTGAAACTGTAAACGTCAGACTAGGCAGTATGGATTAAGATGCCTTTGCCAAAGTTATAAAATAAAATAAAAAATAAGAAAGAAATCTGACAACAGGTAACAACTGTCACTGTTAGTATAAATAAAGGTATTTATACGTAAATATTATTAACAAAAAATATAATGATTAATTAATCTACCAGTTATGTGAAATAATTAAAATAATTTCAGTAACAATGTGTGTTGCAGTGGAAACCTATTATAAAACTTATGTCTTAAAAATGAATGGCAAAGAATTATAATTAAAACCTGATTACCTAAAAGTTACAAAAATATAAGAATTGAGCTGCTGGAGTAAATTAGTAAAAACAAAATCATAAGAAAAACATGCCACTACCATCATTTTTTAGCCGTCTTCCTAGCCCTAGCAGTAGTAACACAGGGCTTGGGAGCCGAAGATGCCGCCGCCGCCGTCGCCGCAGTCAAGGATGTGGTAGTAGGGACACCACCAGCTGCATCAGGAATGGCGATCACCTCAGCCACGGTGTACACCCGGTGCTTCGTGCCGTCGGACCCAAGCACCACAACATATCCATCGCGTGTCCAACACTGGGATACACCAAAGCGCTTCCGAGCAGCAACAAACGCCTCATGACGACCCTTAGTCATGAACTCAGATAGAGTAACTCCGCTACCCTTTAGCTTGGTTTTGGAAAACCAAACTTTGTCACGGAGATCCTGATCTTGAAATTTCACGAGCAACACACGAGGCTTGTCGCCACGGGAGCGCCCTAAGCGATGGCATCTGGTAATAGAGTCCACACTTAATTCAGGGATGTTCAGCCGCTCTGATAATACCTTACTTGTGCAATGTACTAGGTTCTCATCTTGAGCTTCTGGCATTCCATGGACAAGCAACATCTTCCTCCTGGTCCTTACCTCCATTTCATCTTGCTGCCTAGAGAGAAGCTGGAGCTGAAGTTGCAGATTCTCAAGTGCTGACAGGACGAATGCCCTAAATGCATTAAATTGTGCATTAATATTGGAAGAAGGGCTCGTTGCAGGGATGGATGTTCTGACCTCCCTCTGGAACTCATCCATACGTGAAGTGAAATTCAGTGTTAGCTCTTCAATTGACTTCTTAAGCAAATCCATTTTTAATATTCAATTAAAGGTTACTTAAAGGTCAATGTCAAGTGACAGTGAAGTGGCAAAATAAGTTTTAAGTTGTGCAATGAAAAACAAATTATTAGTAAACAATGCTGGTGGATTTATGTAATTACAGGTACATTTATATACTTGATTGTTCTAAATTTACTATAATTAAAACTTTAAAAAATCAGGAACGATTTTAAATATGTCAACACAGTTTTGCGCCTACCCACCGAAAAAAAATGCTTGTCTAATAGATCTTTTTCAAAATATTGATGTAGTTCAATTATAGCATCACTGATCGGTGTAGCAATATGACGCTGTTGCTGATTGGGTAAAAAAAGTAGGTCATCTGATTGCAAACTCGTCTCTGTAGATGTATTAACCGTGCTTGTAGATGCTTCGGTTTTGTGTACTACTCTTCTATTAGTTTCAATTATAGCAGCATACTCTTTTTGAAGTAATTGTGCAGCGTTGTCTGCGTCTTGAAGCGTCCTAAAACTAAATTTTTAAATCTAGGGTCTAATAATGTAGAGAGCATATTAACAGACCTTTCATAAAATGGTTTCAGTCGTTAATCGACTGCTTTCATCAAGTAATCAATAACAATTCGTCCTTCATTAGTTATTAAGGTACACTACAAGCTTGACAACTTAACAGAAAAACTCCGAATAAGAGGTATTATTAAGGATGCAGTGACATACGCCTGCCCCGAAATTGTAGTTGTTGCCTCTTCAAAAGGTTCAAGAAGACCTATTAATTCTTGTATAGCTCTGAAATTTTCTGCTATATTCAAAGGTGGTGCTTTGGGATATCCGTTGATTGCAATAGTTAGCTCACTTCGCACTTCTATAATTCTTTTTAACATTTAGCACGAGCTGTTCCAACGTGTTGATACCTCTTGTATCAACTTTAATTCTTTTTTGTTTGCTCGTCTTTGAGCAAGACGCAATTTGTCACTGGCTGATGTAGAACTGTGAAAGAAAGTTACAAGAGCCTTTGTCTTCAATAAGATTTCGGAAAATGATTCCACTTTGGAACAGTTTTGTACTGTTAAACTTATATAATGAGCAAATCAGGGTGAATGACGGATCTTTAACATATCAGCAGTTTCTTTCATAACTGAAGCATTGTCGGTTACTATTGTTACTATCTTGTCGTGAATATTATATTCCTCTAGTATGTTGTTGATGACCTAAAAATATGATCTTATTAAGAACATTATTTCAAACCCTCGACTACCAAAGAGAAGACATCAGAAGCAGAATACAATACTTACATGTGCCATAGTTTCCGAGTTATGATGGCCTTCAACTTTTGTCACCTTTAATAGGGGTGAAAGTAATATCCCGTCATTAATAAAATGGCAAGTCAATGCTTGTATGCCTTTGTTCGCGTTGCTTGTGCACATGTCTGTGGTAATATTCAAATAACTAGTTATTGCAAGGGCCTCTTCTAATTTATTTTTTAAGTTTTCATATACTTTTGGTATCAGTGTACATTTCAGTGTATTTTTGTCAGGTAACTCGTATCTGCTGTCTAGGGCATGAATAAATTTTTTCAAACCTTTGTGGTCAGAGGTTCTGTAATGGCGATCATCTACGTGAAAAGTGTATCTAGTTCTTTTTTGACTTTTGAATTAGTGTCGTACAACTGATTTCTATTAAAATAATAATAAAATAATCATCTTGAACTTGATGTTCAGACGATGATCCTTCTTCCGATTCTAACCTATCTATTTTATCGGCATGCTTTCTTTTCAAGTGATCTCTTAGGTTGGTCGTATTTCCTGAATGTTTATATTCCTGATTACAAAGGTTACATTTAACAAACTGACTATTACTGTCCACTTTCTTGAAATAACTCCACATTAATGATTTATTTTTTCGATTCATTATGAAGTCAAATACAAAACAAATCAGTAAACTATAAAACGCCAGAACCACCGCCCTTTCTGCCATTCACTCAAATAGTGACTTACGTCAGTGTCACACATATATACGCATTCACATTTCATACACAGTTTATTTACAGGGATTTTGCCCGCAGCCCGACCTTAGACTAAAAGGACACTTCTAGCATTGACAAAAATTACGATAAGGATGACAATCGATAGTTAAACCAGACTATCGATAGTACCGATAGTGCAAATACTATCGATTAATCGATAGTCTATCGATGTTTATGGAACACTAATTTCGATCGAGGGATGCAAAAATACAAATGTACAAACCATAGAATACTATAATACAATATCATAATATAATTGTGTATGTATTATAATATTCTATGGTACAAACCAAAATATTGTAATTATACAACAATCTCATTTGTATTGAGTCTATTAAGATAAGAGTATGTTTTTTGATTGTTTGATATTATAATTTTAATATTTTTATTGTTTAGTTTAGAAGACTTCATCATCAGCCCGTAAAATTACAATGCTAGACATGGGCCTCCACTATTATAGAGAGGATTTGCCTTAATCATCAGGCTTGGCAGCAGAGGTGGATTAGATTTTGAAAGGCTAGGACTTCATCGGTGCCCGTATGGCAGCCATATATTATAAATTATTACTAGTAATATTGCATGTAAGCTTATTTTTTATAGGAGACGAGCAAACGAGCTTGCGGCTCACCTGATGGTAAGTGACTACCGCCGTCCATGAACAACTGCAACACCAGGGGAATTGCAGATGCGTTTCTGGCGTTTTAAAAAGGAGTAGGCTCTTTTCTTGAAGGTCCCTAAGTCGTATCGGTCCGGAAAAATCACTGTTGATAATCGATTCCACAAGAAAGTTGTGCGAGGAAGAAAATTTCTTCTAAATCGCACAGTGGTGGACCGCCAATCATCCAGATGGTGTGGATGGTATTGAGAGTTTTCTCGCGATGTGCGATGGTGAAATTGAGCGGCTGGAATTAGTCCGAACAATTCCTCAGGGCACTCCCCGTGATAGATGTAATAAAAAACGCAAAGAAATGAAACATCTCTACGCAGCGCCAGTGAATCAAGCCGATCGGAAAGGACTCCGTCGTTGACGATTCGAGCCGCTCTGCGCTGAATGCGGTCAAGTGAAAGGAGCTGGCACTGGGGAGCCCCAGCTCATAGATGGGAACAGTATTCCATGTGAGGCTGAACCTGCGCTTTGTAAAGTTGCAGGCGGTGTGCCGGCATGAAATACTGTCCCGCTCTGCTGAGCATGCCAAGCTTTTTAGAGGTCAATTTGACCTTCTCTTCCAAGAAACCACGAAACTGCAGGTCACTCGATATGTCGACGTCGAGGATTCCGATACTGGCTGAGGCAAGAAGGGTGCCTTGAAACTGAGGAGATACAACAAAAGGGTTCTTTTTAGCGGTAAACGCGCAAACTTGTGTCTTCTGAGGATTAAACTGGACTAGATTTAGTCGCCCCCAATCCGATACTTTATTCAGCAAAGACTCGACTTCAGACAAAACTTTGTTCCGGTACTCGGAGATATTTTTCCAAGGAATACTGGCATGGCCGGTGTATAGAGCATCACTAGTGCTTTCATCCGTATAGCAATGAATGTTACCGGTTTGCAACATATCATTGATATGCAGAAGAAACAGCATTGGTGATAGGACGCAGCCTTGTGGAACACCAGCGTTAATAGGCTTGTAATCGCAGCATGCACCGTCTACTACGACCTGGATGCTCCGATTAGCCAGAAAACTGTTTACCCATTTGCACAATTTCTCGGGAAGCCCATAGGAAGGAAGTCTCCCTATGTCTTCGCGCATGCGCGGGAGTAGTAGTCGCGCATGTGCGAAGACTTTAATTTAATATAAAATAAGATATTAATATACAATAAAGATAAGAATTTAATATAAAATATCTTAATTTAATCTAAACAAACATATTTCTAAATAAAATGTAATAATAATTATTTTATGGAATTCACAAATCTTCAATTTACGCAATATTTAGTTTGTATGGATTGCACTACAGTTCAGTTGAACATAGTCAATGTTCGGAATGGCTTCTCTAATCGTAACGAAAAGATGTTTTAAAGGACATGAAGAAAATATTATAATTAGTAACTGTTTTTAACTTGTTGTCTTGGTTATATTGATTAAAATAATTAACAAACAAAAGGTCTTTAATTGCAACTACCACATAACGGTTGCCATAACCGTGAGGCAAAGAATTTAACTTATTAAAAGTCCGGAATATCCGCTGTAGTTCGTGCTCAAATAAGTAAGTCTGATTAAGATTATAATAAAGTAAATAGTTTGGAGGATTTGAGTACATATATTAAATAAAAATGGAGACTGCAGCGGCGATTAAAGAGAACCGGGAGCGAGAGCAACTAAGAAGAATTTTCAACCGAACAGCGACGAAGCTGGAAGCTGATATAAAAGTCAAAAATTTCTCGCAAGTGATGATCGACATTGAATTTCTTAAGAGTAAGGTTGAGCGATTAGAAGCTTTAGATAAAATGATACAAGACTGCATGTTAGAAAGCGACAGTTATGATGAAGAATCCTTCAGCATTGAAATTGATACAGCGGATACGTATAAATACAGATGGCACACAATTAACAATCAGATAAAGACAGGTATGTCGTCAAAAATTCCTCTTGATAAGCTTGAAGATGTAAAGCCAGTCAGGAATTACAATTTATCTAAGTATGAGCTAAAGAAATTTGACGATAACCTGAAGAACTGGTTAGCTTATTGGGGCCAATTTAAGAAAATTGACGAAGATCACTCATTGTCTGGAGAGGATAATTATCAGTACCTCCTTCATTCATTGAAGGAAGATAGTAACGCTCGAATATTGGTGGAAAGTTTCCCTCCGTCTGCTGAAAATTATACAAGGCTATTGAACAACTCAAGGCAAGATTTGGACGGGAGGATCTTCTCATACAGGTTTATGTTAGGGAATTATTAAGTTTAGTTTTAAACAATAATAAAAAACAAGTATCTATTAGACTATTATATGACAAAATTTCAACATGTTTGATGTCTTTAGAAACGTTAGGTATTGTTAAACAGAAATATGAAATTATTTTGTATCCCCTTGTAGAATCAGGAATTCCCGAAACTATTCTTATTGCTTGGAATAGATGTAACACTGATCCACCGTAGAGTATATATCACCTGGGGATGCCTCGTTTAGAGGCGAAACACGTGTCGTATTATCGTCAGTGGTGTGTCTTGCCTAGTGTAGTGGTGTTGGGAGTAGCAGTGCTGGGATTAGTGGTGACGGGGATAATGCACGCAATTGAGGGAGGGTGGGAGGTGCTCTTCATACTAGGTAAGACACATCATTTTATTTTATAACGCGGATATTTGCGAAGTAAAAATTTTTCTAAAAGCTATTATATATACTGATTATGGTACGAATTTTCAAGATTCAGCCAATTTATTAAAAGAGGTTGATTGGGCAAAAGTCGAAACAGCAACTAGCATAGTTCCACCAGCTATCAAGTGGCGTTTTGTACCTCCACGTGCGCCCTGGTGGGGAGGATGGTGGGAGCACCTTATATGTGGTAGTAAAGGAAATGTTAAGAAGAATCTTGGGAAAACAATCTTTAACTTGGATTGAATTATCAACAATACTTTGTGACTGCGAAGCAATCATTAACAGCCGACCATTGACATACGTAGCAACAGTTGATGACTCTCTTAAACCACGTACTCCAATGATGTTTTTACATCCCTTAGATAATAGTGAGATGCCTGATTTAGATCTCATTGATGCAAAAAATATAAATATTCGTTTACAATATTTAAACAAATTACGTGCAGATTTTCGACAACGTTTTAGAAACGAATATATTGCTTTAATTTGTAGTAAAGATAGGTGTAAACAAAATTTGCCGAAATTAAACGATATTGTTCTTATTGAAACTGACTCTAGTCGGTTATATTGGCCATTAGGTATTATAAAGGAGTTAATTATAGGTGCTGATGGTAATTGTAGGGTTGCAAAAGTACAAACAGCTACCGGTGAATCGGTAAGAGCTATACAAAATCTTTACCCACTGGAATTGACAACAGTTACAAACAAACGAATGGCACAGGGCCAGCCCATCTACTAATAGAAGTAAGACAGTGACTAACCCTAACATTAAGGATTATAGTCCCCAGACGACTTTGAATTCAGACATAATATCATCTGATTTACCTCAAACATCTTCTATTAGTACTAGATATGGTATAGTAATTAATATTCCAATTCCATTGAAGATTCTTAGACTAAGGTGACGAAATGCATTTAGTCAATTAGTTAGGAATGTTTATTTAAAATACTGCTCTCTGATTAACATTAAAAATTAATTAAAATAGGGTTGAATTCATCTATATTTGTAATGAATGTGTGAATACACTTAAAATTAACTTAATTCGATTATATGTTATGTTCAAGTATTTTAAATTATATTATATCGTCTCTACTATCATATTTTTCTGTGTGGGGAGGATGTTGTAGATTCAAGTAGGTTATTAGTCAGTGAAAAATACTGGCAGCTATTGCCTATGGTTATACATAATTTAAATATGTATATATTACTTATTATTCTGACTTTAATCCATGA